GAAATAAAACTATTGCTCCTGGGTCTCAGGCTTCCATTCTGCTCTGCCTCCCCGCCACCCTGCGATCCAGCCCCTTGTGCCACGTGCCCACTTTTCCGGCCGCTGCAGGGACTGGACAGGAAACCAGGCTGGGCCCGGGGCAGCTTTCCCTCCGGGAGCCCCTGTGCTGACAATACCCCAATTCCTGCATGTTCTCTGGGAGGAAGGTGGGAGGCGGGGCTGGGGGCGGACCTCTCACCTTTCCTTCTGGAACCCTGTCGTCATCTTCCTAAACCTGCCAGGGAAATCGGTTCCTTAGAAGCCGCTTAATCCCTGGACATGCACAACCGCGTTGGTCTATCGACTAACACCTGACACATATTCTTCCCATTTTCAGAGGCAGCGCTGTGTGTACAATTCAGTGATAACAATAAAACCCAGATTTGCCATTCTAAGAAAACATAAAACATGGACCAAGTTATTTGTTATGCAAAATATATGTTAGAGATATTATACACTTTAAAAATCACTTTTTTTAACCAAGATCTCATGACAGAATCCCTTCAAAGCACAATTGCAGTGTGTCATGTATTTAAAAATGATAATATCCATTTTATAAAATGATGTGTCACTCTAAGTCAGTTATTGCAGCCTCATACTTGAAAATGTCATCATTATTTCATGAAAGTGAGACAATCCCCAAATTTTTTTAAAAAATGGGAGCAGCCAGGGAAGTAGCCACATACAGGAGCCGTAGGGAGGTTCACTGAAGATCTGGGAAGAGAATCGGGCTGCCTGCCGAGGCGGCGCTGAATCTCAGGCAGCGGGAAGGACCCTACGGCTCGGCCACTCAGAGTTTCTGTGTGTTAACATCGCACAGCATCGGCCCTGAAAATCTTATTGTCATGAGGATGTTCGCCGTTCACTGCCTGGGGCTCTCAGTCCTGGAGAAGGTGACCGGTGGCTCTGTTGGTAACATAGATCTGACCCCAGATTTTGTGTAAGTCATTGAACTCATTCAGATAATTCAACTAGAAAACAAAATCTTGTATTTGAGGGGGATACTTTTTTGAGGTCAAAGTTATCCTAACAACTGATTATTCTTAATTTCTCAGTGTGCCATACATTTGTCCATCTTCTGAGTTATCTGATGCTCTAAGATATTAGAGAAAAATACACCGGTTTCTATTAGCAACATTGTTAAGCGTTACCTTTTCGATATATAGGTGGTGGTCGAAATCCGGTGACTCCTCGATTCATGCGGCATTTCAATGTTATAACGATCAATGAGTTTAGTGACAAATCCATGTATACAATCTTCTCTAGAATCTTAAACTGGCATTTAAAAACCTGGTGAGTAATTTACAGTGTGTTTGTTTTTTGTTTTTTTTTCATTAAGGCAGCATAAAACATTTTGAAAATATACCAATATAAGTGGTGCTCCTTAAACTTTTCCACAAAAGCATCCTAGAAGAGGAAAAGATAATGGGTACCATTGCTCCCATTCCCCTCCTCCCCACTATGCCCATCTCCAGGTTATGGGAACATCCCAAAAAGGAGCCAGCGTAGCTTTCTTTTTACTTGTGTGTGAGTGTGTGTGTGTGTGTGTGTGTGTGTGTGTGTGTGTAAAGCTTTGGATGTTAGCCTAAAAATCCATACAGCCCAGCTGGCATGGGTCAGTAATTGAGTGTCAACCTATGAACCAGAAGGTCACAGTTCGATTCCCAGTCAGGGCACATGCCCAGGTTTCTGGCTCGATCCCCAGTTGGGAGCGTGCAGGAGGTAGCCGATCCATGATTCTCTCTCATCATGCATGTTTCTCTCTCTCTCCCTCTCCCTTCCTCTCTGAAATCAATTAAAATATATAAGTAAAGATAAAAATCCGTACAAATTTTGCATTCTGCAGTTTAATATGTTCATGTGGGAATATTTTGAATTTCCACCACTAGTGCGATTAGCGAGGGGAAGGCATATCGGGTCTACCCTGTGACTGGGATGCTCTAGAACCCGTGCGTTCCCCAGGGTGTCCCTGTCCCAGTGGGTGTGCAGCGTGCAGCCTGCGCCCTGGGAGGGTGCTCCTCGCTGCGCAGAGCCACGCCCGCCCCCTGAGCAGCACGCGTCCGGGTCCCTGCCCCCGCCAGGAGGATGGAGGGCAGCAGCTGGGTCCTTGCCAAGGCAGAGGTTAAATACAGACAGTTTTCCCAGATGAATATTCTCCCCCATGTTCTTTCCACCCCCATCATGCCCTTTGCCCCCTTTCTTATCCTATTTAACTCTCCATTTAACTTTCTTTTTAAATCTTTCTTTTTCTTTATATACTTTTTCTTCCTTTCCTCTCTTTGAAAATATGGTTTCACCTGTGTTTTTTGTGGATTCTGTCTGTAAGCAGTTGAGAATGCCAGGGAGTGAAAAGGGGCAGAGCTTATCTGCTCAGTGGATCCTGGACTTGCGCTATGTCACCTGGGCTCGGAGGTTGGCTCTCATGTCCCCTTACTGAAGTGATTTAAAGTCCGTTACATTGGTTCTGCTGCTCGCGGAGTTCCGTTGAACACACAAATACAGTAATGAATGGAAAGTAACTTTGAAAGAAGTAAAAGTTCCACCATTATTATAAGAAATGGTAATTCTATAAGCTAAGCCCATTGCTTTAGTCGGAATACAAGTTTTGTTAGGCATGCAAAATGTTTATGTGTCAGAGTTCTGTATTTGCTGACTTTTCCCCCTTTTCATTTAATCCTTTTTAAGTTACAAATTTCCAGAGGATTTTCTAACTTTGACCGCCCAGATTGTCAACGGTACGATGATTCTGTACAAAGAGGCCATGAAGAACCTCTTGCCCACCCCGGCCAAGTCGCACTACCTGTTCAACCTGCGGGACTTCTCCCGTGTCATTCAGGGCGTTTGTTTGTCCAGACCGGAAACCACGGCAACCAAAGAGGCCATTAAGCGTCTTTGGGTTCACGAGGTGAGTGTCCACGTTACTGAAATCCGATCGTGCAGAAAACAAAGACCTTCCTCGTCCAGCCTCTGAGCGAGAAGAAATGCGCAGCAGTTTATGCTGCTGAAATGCAGTGTGCTGTCTGTCATGACGAAGGTCAATCATCAAGATGATTTTTAAAATGTTTCACACTCATATATTTTATGCTATTTAAAATGGGTTGTCTCTCCTTGCTACGCATTCCTGTTGACCTAAGTGACTTAATCTTTGTTAGTTTGACGTCAAACAATTTTGAGGAGAAACACTTTTTGGCCTGTTTTTTATGAGAAGTGAATACATTTACTTACATTATTTACTCAGAGTTTGACTGGCTGCCGAAAGGACTGGAAAGCAAACCAGTTTGAAGAGCATGGAAACCGTATACAATAATACTTACCTTCTCTTTGGGAACAGGAATGTGGGTGAACATTTTCTTGTACAAGCTTGTGCAGGGAGGGAAGGAGACACAGTGAGAGAGAGAGAGAATACAAAAAATAATGCATCAAAAACCATAGTGCGATATTTTTAAAATAGGCAAAGGCT